GAAAACCACCACGTTCGCCTCGGCGTAGTACGCCTTCACCACGTCTGGAACGTCCGCGAGAAGAATGGAGCGAGGCTCCCACGAATCGCTCGTGGAAGGGAGACCAAGCCAACGGACGCAATATTGACGACCGTCTCAGATCGCCGTGACTGGAGTCGCGGTGATTTAAGGTCGATGGGTCGCGATGCTCAAAAATCTAATCAAAAATCCAGCACGGATTTTCTGCGCTATCAATTAGCGGGGAAGGACCATCGCGGTGAAGGCGTGCATGAGATGTCTGCGAGTCTGGCGGGGTCTGAGGTGACCGAGTCTCTCGCGAAGGAGCTACGCGAGTATCAACAGCGCGTTGGGTTTGTTGGATATGAGGCGGAGCAGGCGAAAGAATTGGCTGAGCTTGCTGGATCGCAAGTGGAGCAGGTATCTTCGACCGTAGCCGGATTGGCGGCTCGCTTTGAACGTTTGAAACAGTCAAACACGACTCTTCGGAAGGACAACGCGGTGTTCGAGGGTAATCTCAACTAGATTCTCTTAGGAAGCCGAAGTGCCGCGGGCCACGTTATGCTCACCAAACAGGGCTGTTATCAGCCAAGCCCTTGGCGATCTCTCCCCCACTAAGCCTTGATGTGGCAGGGGGTAGCGTTAAAGAAACGCGAGGGTTGACCAAACCATTCGCGTAGAATGGGGTGAGTCCTGTCGAGGCATGCACCGCGTTGTTCAACGCAAACTCATTGAGAGGGAGCATCGCGCTCCATCTCTTGGGCGTTTCAGCACAAACACTGCGAACCATATCGCCACTAACGCGGTTGACGCGTTCTGTCTGACCATCGGTCTGCGGATAATCCACGTGGACATGTCCAGTCGAGTGCCGAGCACTTTAAAGATTGACGCCCAAAACGTACCCTTAAATGGAGGTCTCTATCCGAGACGATTGCCACAGGCAATCCGTGTTGTCTAAACACACGATTCATGAACAGCTTTGCTGTCCCTTCTCCATCAATGGAGTCCGGCACTCCCGCTAAGTGAGCCATCTTTCTCAGTCGGTCGACAAAGACCACAATCCCAGTGTTGCCTGCCGCATTACGCGGTAGGCCAAACACAAAGTCCATACTAATGGACTGCCACAACCTCGAGGGTACAGGCAAACTCGCCAAAGGCGCAGCTATACTAGGCGAGGTTTTTAGCCTTTGACACGTTTCACATGTGCGTACGTAGGTGCCAAGCCATTTATACAACTTGGACCACCAGTAATACGTGCTCACCAAGCTGTAGGTCTTCTCACAACCTAAATGACCACCAAGTGGTGTATCATGAGCCTCGTAAAGTATCTGACACTTGGGTTCCCCGTCATGAGACACCACAACACGAGACTGGTCATTCGACCCTGTACTATATAGTACAACAGACCATCGGTCAGTACATAACGATGTAATCTCGCACGATTACGTGGTGACAACTTCACCTTAGAGTTTTCAAGCTCTGCGCTACCCAGCGCCTGCATAATAGCAACACATGCCTCATCGCGTGCATACGACATATACGGATACGGTCCATTACCGACGAACTCACAACAGTGAGATGAGCAAGCTCATAGTCAGGTCTACGCGATAACGCGTCAGCCAAAACATTCTGATTTTACCGGCTTATACTTCACCTCGAAGTTACACTTCGCAAAAAGGAGAGCCAACGAGCCATTTTTTGCGAGAAATGAAGCAACTGTGTCGCTGTGCGTAACGACGCATGATCGGTATAGATCTCAAACGGCTTTGAGCCCAACAGGTGTACCCTGAACTTAACAAGGGCATACTTCATCGCAAGTAGCTCCTTGTCATCAACTGAATAGTTCTTCTCTGCAGCTTTTAGCTAGCGAGATTCAAACGTGATGACGCGTTCTCGACCCTCAGAGTCAACTTGCAAGAGTGCACTGCCAATGGCAAAGTTCGAAGCGTCACATACAACGCTAAACGGTCGATCAGGGTCTGGCAAATCCAGAATTGGCGCCTGAAGAAGACTCTCCTAAACGGCCTCAAAAGCCTCGTCACCCTCTTGGGTCAATGTCACGTCATGTGGTGCTCGCACCTCGTTGTCCTCAAAGACAACATCCATTTTCAGCTTCACCCGGTCCTCCAGGGTCAGTTCCTCGTCACCCATGCCACTTGGACTCATGTCCTGGCATCTTGGCTTGCAGCCACCAACACCACTCACGGTGTGTAATGATGTAACATCATTCTCATGACACATGTCATATGTGCCATCTAGTGGGTTCTCAACCACACTATCGACAGTCCTTGGGCCTCGTCCAGGACTATTGTCCTCGACACTTACAGTGTCTACAAGTCGGATATTCCGACATCCAACATATTGACCGATTCGGTCCAATATCCGCGCCAAAAGCGCTTTTGCTTCCTAGCAGAGGTGTATTCATGACTCTCCAGAGTCCCACCAGGAGCATTGCGCGTTGCGTCTAAGGTCTTTGACCTCCGATCAATCCATGGCTTATGACGTTCTAGCCATGCCATGCCTAGGATGAGGACATACCTCGTATCCAGGTCTAAGACCAAACAGCGCTTCATGCTGTTAAAGTCCAAGAACTTTACATTTGAGCCCATCGGGACTTTGAATACCGTAATACGCGCACCCGTCGCTAAGCAAACTGTGACCGTGTCGCTCTCACGCGCTACAAGCGCTTCAGCATACTGCTGATTACCTTCCACAGTGGCACGGCGCACATAATTGCCCGATGCCCCCGAATCGATCAAAATGATCCATGGCTTATCGTATCCCTTAATCGTCCCTTCGACGACTAGCAAGCCTGGCTTGTATTCTCGTTCTGTTTTTGAGGTTCGGATCACTTTGGAGCTGGGCCCTGTTTACTTCTACCTCCTAGAACTCAGTTCTTCCCCATTAGGGCTCCCCGCGCCTACTGGGTTCCGCCGTTTTTCCCCGCGGCAAACCAGAAGGCTTACCCATGGGGCTTCGGTCCTTCGAGGCCAAGTATGCCTTTCATGCAGGGCATTTTGCCATCAAATGGCCTGTGCTACTGCAGATATCACATCTGCGCACAATTTGCTGCTCCGCAGCTTGAAGCTCCGCTTCTTCATCCTCCACTTGACTACAGTCCATGGGTACAGACTTATTAGATGCGTAGTTATAAGTAACAGGCCTAGCGGCCTTAAAATTGGTCTCGGCATTCCATGCCACTCCAACAACTTCCTCGAATGAGGACGGGTTTACCCGGAAGACTTCCGTTCTGGCAACGCTAACTCATAGGCCCTCCATGAAGACCGTGACGGTCACTGTCTCAGGTATAGGGTCTATGACCATGGCAACAATGAGAGTTCTCAACTCTTGTACATATGCCGCAAGCTCACGCTTGCCTTGGCGACACGCCAAAAAACGCGACCGGTTACGGTCTGCTTGGTTTTGCGGTGCATATTGCCGGGTCATCTGAACTTTCAGATCGACATGTGGTGCATCATTGCAAGATAGCCATGTGGGAAAAGCTATCTTGCAATGATGCACCACATGTGAATGCCCACTGTTTGGCTAAGCCACCTAACTTGCCAGTGGCAAAGCCCATACGGTACGGCTCATAGGTGATGTCGGCAACAAACATAGCCGTTTCAACCTATCGGAACCAAAGCATAAGGTTGTCACCTTCTTTGCCGTCGAACTTATCGACTTCCATTTGTATGGGCTTTGGTCTGCGGACCACTTCTTGCGCCATAGTCGCCATGGGCGAAGGCGCAGAAGAAGGCATCTGTGTCTTTACATGCGCGACTAGAGCTTTGTTATATTCATAAAGCTATATGAATACGCTTGTTAACCTCTTCTTTGCCTTGGGCGATGAGGTATTCCACGCCCTTAGGGCCAAGTAAAAGGAGTAGCTTCTGCAACCCCTCCTGTTGTGCCAGTGACAGGCCAATCGCTAACATCTCTTCGATGTCCAATCTCACACAGAGAAGTCGTCGCGAACCCATGTGCGGGATTGACTACGAGTGCTACCAGGTGTAGCCGAGCTACTGTAGCCACGCTACTTATGCACTATGTGTAAATGCACTATGTGCAGAAGAAGTAGTCAGACTACTGTAACAAAGCTACTTATGCACTATGTGCAGAGAAAGACAAGCTCAGAGAGCTTCTACGTCTTAGGGTTCTTAACCCTCCTAGGCTAGCTCGTAAGCTTGTGCCTATCGGTTGTTGCAACAGTGTCTCAACGAGACTAGTATCAAAGATACTGATTCCTTCTAAGGAATCGAACGCTCAAGCTGTAAGGCTTACAGAGCAGGTTTGAAACTGATTTATATTTATGTTTATTTTCTAACGCTAAATATAGACCTACCCTATACTTAGTGCTAGTCACTATTTACTGGCTCTTTAGCCTTTTATTATATGCAAACATGCATAGTCACTATATTTGACTAAGTATAATGACCACGTGGCTCTCTGCCACGATGCGACTTTTCGTACTTTAGGTATGGTCACATCGACGCAAGGTACAGCCACACCACATTGGTGAGGCAGGTGTGTATGTAAAATACACACCTTCGTGTAACCCATTACAACTATGCCTGCTTACAGGTCCAACCTTCAGCTTTTGTTATTTTTCTAGCTCTAAAAACTGTATAGGCCTTGCGGATAAGTTTTTCGTGGCCTTCTTCCGTCGTTTTGCGCCGAATATTCGTACAAGGTCTTCATCTTTTTTGTCAGCCTTGAACCATTTATCAAACAGCTGTTGTCTCATGGCAAAGGCCCAATTCGCATCTTTTCCTCACCCCATATCCTCCAATCTTCAAGATCAAGTGCATGCTAGAAGGAGTGGCGGGGAGAGGTGGAAAGAAGGAGTGACGGTAGCGGCGGAGCCAGTGCTGTGGTTTCAGGGGGTAGCAGCAGAAAGGAGGGGAGGGCCGCTCAGGTGCCGCGGGGCTGTTGGATGCTGGATGTTCGATGTAGGTGGTTCTGATGCGGGGGGAGGCCTGTCTCGTTGTGGGGGAAGATCGTGCATGAGAATCAAGGTCTTGGAAAAATGGGCGGGTGGTTTTGGCTGGGTGGTTGCATGTATTCGGCGTCTAAGAGGTAAGTATCGAGGTCTTACCTGTGTTGAAACCAGAAGGAGTGAAATATTTCAGATAAAGCTCACGCAGCAGTTCTCCACGATGAACCGTCCAGGCCTACATTGGCTTCCAGTATGTCGCACCAAGCACTATGCAGACCACGGGCAGGACTCACCTCAACAACTGCTGCAACGACAAGCTATCTACCTGTAGTTCGAACCCCTATGATGCAACGACTGATCGATACTCTTACTGACACTCGGTTCATCTCTATTCCAGGTGTTTCTCTGCTAGTTGTCTTCGCGAACATGAGAATGAATTACGAGGACTCCCTTATTGTCAGCCAGCGCGTAAACGACGAGAAACTATTTCGCCACTTCGGAGTCATCCATCACCCGGTAAAGGACGGCGTTCCAACAATGAAGCGTGGAGACATCATCACCGAGAAAGATGATTGGTTCCGGCCCTATGCTAATGCCAAAGTACTAAGAGAAGGGGTATCAAGCAAGATGTCACGTTATGTCACGGCGGAGATGTCGGATGACAGGCTGCATGAAGGAGACAAATTAGCTACGTGGCACGGGCAAAAGTTTACTGTTTCGGAGATCGTCCCTGAAGAAAGAATGCTCATTTTCACTTGCACAGCTACGAGGAAGAAATTACGTCCCCACATCTTCGTCAGTTCATAATCGTGGCACCATTGGTCAGATCTTCGAGGCATGGGCGGGGATGAACTGCGTAGATGATATTTACTTCGATCCTCGTACCTGTGAAAAGTATGTTATGTGCGACCCGTTCAGGAAATCAGACATACCGTGCGGCCGATTCACTTGCGAAATATCAGACTCATTCCTACCCCGTAGATCGACGGACGGTAGTAGAATTATCGCTGACTACGGGGTATGCAACTTCTGGCAACTCTCGCACATTTCCCGGGACAAGCAACATTATGTCAGTGATATTCCACGTGGGGTAGCAATGAAGAAGGGCAAACTTAACAGGTCAGGAGTTCGATTCGGGGAAGCGGAATGTCTTCCAGCTATGTCTGGCGGCTTAGTCAACTGCCTCTCCTACCTTAGCGATAACAAGGACCTGTCTATAGTTGATGTATGTCAGAAGTGTAGGCGGCTCGTGATTAACTGTGATTGCGAAGAAGGATGGACTCCGTCGACTAGAGTGGTGGTTTGTAATGCGCTGACCAAGTTTGATGTCATGAGAACGGTCTATTCGGTTAACGGTGGGCAAATCTCGAGCAGATATTTCATGCGATTTCATATGTTCTTCTAATACTATCTCGCGTTCATCTCCGTCCTCGGTCAACCCACATAGCTCGCACCTAAAGAGGGATAGCCTGACCTCTTTGTTGCTAGAAAGCTGACATACGCTTCATCCATGACATATTAGGTGATTGTTATAGTCTTCGGCGTACATGAATTCCTCGCAGCAGATACGGCAAACCACGGTGCATTGTCCAAGCAGTCCACGCCTCAACTCGTATCGTCCATCGTTAACCATGCTTCAGAGAAGATCGTCATAAGCAGTGCAGAGCTAAATAATTACAACCGTTTTAAAGGCCAAAGTCCACGAACTGGTCAGAGATGTCATCGGCAGCCTTTGCAGCGAAATCCGTCTTCGAGCAATTCTTTTCCTCACCCCATATCCTCCAATCTTCAAGAACAAGTGCATGCTAGAAGGAGTGGCGGGGAGGGGTGGAGAGAAGGAGTGACGGTAGCGGCGGAGCCAGTGCTGTGGTTTCAGGGGGTAGCAGCAGAAAGGGTGGTCGACTGTAGGTGATACTTGGTTGGGAGGGCACTAAATCATTAACGACCAGAACTACGATTGGGATAGCTGGTTTCTGATGGCCGGTTACCCGCTCAACCTGGCGGTGGTTCGAGGTAGGCCTGTCGTAGTGCCCTCCAAAAATTACGCTCCACTACATTGGCATTCTGGATAAACCTGTAATCGGTTGTTAGAGCTCTGTCTATCGTCCTCGGCGTGACATGGAACATGATTTTATGTAACTTGATTAATTAATTATTTGACGTACCTGCTGATTATGAACGAGAATTGTGAGCTTTTTGCGGGTTGTCTAAGAAGGGTGTGCGCGATACGCGTCGTGCAGCAGATGAGGGTGCGGTTTTGGTAAAGTGCAAGTGTTTAAGTGATTTCGAGATTAGTCGGGTTGCTGCTGATGCGCAGGTAGTTTCTCGACTTATCTTCTTAGCCGCGCCGCGTGATAATCTGGAGGATCTGTGGGAGAACCGAGACATAGATGCGTCGATGTATGATAGTTGCGATGAAGTGGAGATAACCTTGTCGCCTGCTCTTGCCAAAGACTGTTTCGAGGTGCTGATGGATTATGAGGAAGTTTGTTTCACCGAGGTAGGTGTGGCAAGGATGATATTTAATGGAGGGCTTCTCACGTGCATGCCATATCAGGAGCCGGTACTACAGGGATGCAGCAGAGTGCACGATAAAGATACTCCTCAATTCTTATTATCTGGTTCCCGGAATGAATCGCAGTTTTTCCAAGGAGTTTATGTCTGACGATCTTTTGTTATCATTGGACGATGCTATGCGTATCCAGAGTTACCGGGTCGATGTTACCGAGAGAAGAATGGATATAGGAGAGTGGATCTGCCGGTGCCGCCACTACTTGCCCGATGACGTCTATTCTTGTGAGTTTGAGTATCGGGGTTCCAGACCTATCACGCCTACAGACTGGGTTCGGATGCTCAAGGTGATTCACGCGGAGTTCTCTCACGAAAAGGAGTACAGGTATGTTCTTTCTCGTGATACCATGGCACAACTTAGGCATGCGGCTCGACCCGTAAAGGATGTAAAGATGATCCCCGCCTCTGACAACTCCTATCGTGTTAAGGTAGATGGGGAGCATGCCTGGGTCTTCGATGCTGGTTCGGCCTGGTACGTCTGTCGCAACGATCCTAATCTCACCGTCGTCAATTACGTGATCAAGAGTGATGTGGAGGAGTTTACAGGGTTTACAAATGTTCTCCGTGTAGAGCAGCTCGTTGACGGGTCCATGGTTCTCATTGATATCATTGTGGCGAACGGGGTTGTCCAGATTATAACCAGGAAGTATGACGAGTACCGCAGAATTATAGGCGAGATTCTTATTCCTCCATCCGTGATTATTCGTAAAGAGTATAGTACATTCGAAGAAGCCGAGAAAGCTAGATTGACGGATGGCCTTCCCTCTGACGGCGTAATCATTATCGAGAAGAACACCTCCATCACTTATCGGATCAAGAAGCCGACTATCGATCTGCTCTGTTACAGGGACGATATGCAGATATTGTTGCAGGGGCGTCGTCGTATGCACGTTTGTGCTGGTCTGCCAGGCATGAAGTCGGGTACCATCTATGAGTGCAACGTGGAACCGGACGAAGAGGATAATCTCAGAGTTGTTAGGGCCATTCCTCGTACCGATGAAGTGAGGCTGAATTCCCGATCTGTCCTGTCAACCGTCTTGGCTCTTCTGGCAGCGCGGTTATATCGAGGTCAAGACGCAACCCTGTATCGTCTAACGTGTCAGCGAGCTCCTCTACGGCATCAGCCAAACCAGTTTTCGTAAGACATGGAAGCACAAGATCTGCCTCTGTTCCTGCCGCCCCTCCATCTTCTTCCTCCTCTGTATCGGGATCGACGGCACCAGTGATAGTCCTCCGTCGCAGGTAAAGCACCTTTTAAAAACTACTCACGACGAGGATATTACGAACGATTTGCAACGTGTCTGAACCTATTTCGCAGTCGCCGTAGATCACATCGGTAGCATAGCTCATCTTCGTGGCACGGAAATCCCTAGTCCTAACAGCCGGCTCCACGTACTCAACCTTGCTACCATACTTCGCTACAGCGTAACCGGGCTTATCGGGATGCATCTTCATAGAAATTCCACCGAGATCTATCAGGACTCCATCTTCCACCGATCCTGTCATAAACGTAGCAACATCCAACCTGTTTGAGCCCGGTAACAGCCAGCCGATTAAACGTTTCCACCAGATAAGAAAGTGAGAAGGAGTACACGACGGGGTGGCCACCGATACGAAGGAACTCGACAATCTTGTCAATAGAGAATAGGGATTCGGCGCTTCCTCTGTAATATGCACGCTTAACCCTTCCTCTCGCCAGCTTCTCGAATATAGCAACCATGGATTCAGGAATCTAGATCCGTAACGTTTATCCACGAGCTCAAGTCCCTGACAGACGACATGTTTAAATCAGGATCACAGACAAGGTAAGAAGCGTCGCCGTAACGAGACACGATACTTAGTGATTGCATGCGCCCGCTACTGATGTCAACCGTAAAACCACTCTTCACGCCCATATTCTCCATGCGACGGTAAATATACTCGCGAACCCGGAATGAGTAGCTTGAAACCCGATCAATAAGAGTATAATCCACATCATCCGTCGATCTGAGAAGAGCCAAGACGGTTGACAGGACAGATCGGGAATTCGGCCTCACTTCATCGGTACGAGGAATGGCCCTAACAACTCTGAGATTATCCTCTTCGTCCGGTTCCACGTTGCACTCATAGATGGTACCCGACTTCATGCCTGGCAGACCAGCACAAACGTGCATACGACGACGCCCCTGCAACAATATCTGCATATCGTCCCTGTAACAGAGCAGATCGATAGTCGGCTTCTTGATCCGATAAGTGATGGAGGTGTTCTTCTCGATAATGATTACGCCGTCAGAGGGAAGGCCATCCGTCAATCTAGCTTTCTCGGCTTCTTCGAATGTACTATACTCTTTACGAATAATCACGGATGGAGGAATAAGAATCTCGCCTATAATTCTGCGGTACTCGTCATACTTCCTGGTTATAATCTGGACAACCCCGTTCGCCACAATGATATCAATGAGAACCATGGACCCGTCAACGAGCTGCTCTACACGGAGAACATTTGTAAACCCTGTAAACTCCTCCACATCACTCTTGATCACGTAATTGACGACGGTGAGATTAGGATCGTTGCGACAGACGTACCAGGCCGAACCAGCATCGAAGACCCAGGCATGCTCCCCATCTACCTTAACACGATAGGAGTTGTCAGAGGCGGGGATCATCTTTACATCCTTTACGGGTCGAGCCGCATGCCTAAGTTGTGCCATGGTATCACGAGAAAGAACATACCTGTACTCCTTTTCGTGAGAGAACTCCGCGTGAATCACCTTGAGCATCCGAACCCAGTCTGTAGGCGTGATAGGTCTGGAACCCCGATACTCAAACTCACAAGAATAGACGTCATCGGGCAAGTAGTGGCGGCACCGGCAGATCCACTCTCCTATATCCATTCTTCTCTCGGTAACATCGACCCGGTAACTCTGGATACGCATAGCATCGTCCAATGATAACAAAAGATCGTCAGACATAAACTCCTTGGAAAAACTGCGATTCATTCCGGGAACCAGATAATAAGAATTGAGGAGTATCTTTATCGTGCACTCTGCTGCATCCCTGTAGTACTGGCTCCTGATATGGCATGCACGTGAGAAGCCCTCCATTAAATATCATCCTTGCCACACCTACCTCGGTGAAACAAACTTCCTCATAATCCATCAGCACCTCGAAACAGTCTTTGGCAAGAGCAGGCGACAAGGTTATCTCCACTTCATCGCAACTATCATACATCGACGCATCTATGTCTCGGTTCTCCCACAGATCCTCCAGATTATCACGCGGCGCGGCTAAGAAGATAAGTCGAGAAACTACCTGCGCATCAGCAGCAACCCGACTAATCTCGAAATCACTTAAACACTTGCACTTTACCAAAACCGCACCCTCATCTGCTGCACGACGCGTATCGCGAACACCCTTCTTAGACTCCAAATTTGGTGCGGCGACTTGTCGAGGCTGATTGCGCGTGAGGGACATCGATTGCGAAGAAACATGGCAGTCATGACTGCTTCGCCCCAGTATTCCTTCGACAGTCCGGCATGCTCCATCATGCAGCGCGCGCATTCAACAAGGTCCAATTCATCCGTTCAGCAACTCCATTGAGCTGAGGGGTGTAAGGTGGTGTAAACTTCTGCATAATTCCACTAGAGCTGCAAAAACTTTGTCATTGCTTGCGAAGTGTAATCACCACCATTATCACTGCGAACTGTCTTCACTCGCTTGCCCGTTTGCGTCTCAGCAAGTGCCACAAAGTCAAAAAACTTGGAAGCTACTTCCGACTTGTTTCGGAGCAAGTACACCATACAGAAGTGTGACTTGTCGTCGATAAACGTGACAAAGTAGCGTTTTCCACTGAATGTCGCCGTGTGCATAGGACCACACACATCGCTGTGGATGACCTCAAGTACTTGCTTTGCACGATTTGGTGACGACTTTGCGTAGCTGAGTCGCGTTTGCTTACCAAGCGAGCACCCACACGTCCCCCACGGCTTCACTGACTTCAAGTTGATGCCAACACCATGGTTTTTCTTGACGATTGCATCAAGACCGCCATGACCAATATGACCAAGTCAAAGGTGCCAGAGGTACGAAGTGGTGTCCCCATGGCATCCCATCGAAATAGCCACATTTGCCTCATTCACTGACATCGGTGTCATGCAGAGCTTGAACAGACCTTTGCCTTCGCGAGCTCCAATCTTCCACTTCAAACCGTTCGTTTTAGCATAGCAACCCTCGCTTTCAAAGGTCACGGCGCCGACATCCTTGGTAAATCGACCAACCGAAAACAGGTTTCGCGATAGCTTGGGGATATGCTACACGCCAGTGAGCACACCCTTCTTGATTCCACGCAGAGTCTTCATTGACATCACAATGTCTCCAGTCCCGATAGCTTGCACCACCCCATCGTCCGCGAGATGTACATCCACCGGAGAGATTTCCTTGTAGTTTTCCATGAACTTCTTGGTACTTGTCATGTGCTGCGTCGCTCCAGAGTCGATCAGCCACACGTCACTTGATTTGGAGATGCTGTCTCCAACCAAAAACAGGAACTCGCCAGTGTCATCTTCGACCTGCGCGATATTCACTCACTGCAGCCTGTGCCGCTTCGTATTCCCACGGATACGCACCGGACACTTGGCGATCCAATGTCCGTGCTCCCACAGTAGTAGCAGACCCCACCAGTCTTTGGCACCTGCCGTCCTTTGCGTCTGCCGCTGTCGTTTGCCATGAACGCTTGACCTTGTGTGGCGTTGTCGAACCCGCTACCTTGTTCCTTGCGCTTGATGTCTTCGTGCAGTAGTCGAGACGTCACCAGCTCCCACGTTAGCGTGTCCGCACGTGACTCCAACGCCGTGATTAAAACTGGTACGTGTCGTCAAGACTCCCAAGAAGCGTGATCACTAAGTCGTTATCGCTAACCGGAGCACCCACAGCGTCGAGCTGCTCCGCTAGCGTTTTGACCTTGTTGATGTGTTAGAGAACATCATCACCTTCTTCCATCCTGGTCGTAAAGAAACGACGACGAAGAGAGAGTTTGTTCGCCAGGCTCCTCTTCTCAAAGTGTCCCTCCAACCGCGACCAAGCATCATGCGCGCCACTTGACGATCGAACCAGTGGCAGCTGCAAATCCTCCATCGCCAGACCGATGATCGCTAGTGCCTTCCAAGACTTGCGCTTGTAGGTCCCTTGGTCCAGCGGGCTTGTCAGGTGCTCAAGCTTGATTTCACCACTTGCCACGTCCTAGATGTTCCTCTCTTCCAGCACCATTTGCATCTTGCACTTCCACGTATGGAAGTTCGTGCCGTCGAGCTTGTTAATACGACTCGATGGTTGGGCGTCCATGGTGGCAGCGAAGGCAGAGGCTGAGGCGGAGAAGGCGGAGGTTGCCGATGGAAAGGCGGAGTCAGCGGGGTTTGGGCTCATAACCTAAAGTTTCAAAGGCCAAGTGAGCGTTGTTTATCAGAATGCAAAGTGATAGATATTAGGGACTTAGTTCACTAAGGAGCTACCTCTAAGCCTAACGTTCTAGAACCTTCTAGAACCTACAGTGACGTCATTGCCGCCGTCAGACAACCACCGCCGGATATTCGCCGTCGGACAAGTATACCGGTAACTACCGGCATACCAACTTACCCATATCGATAGAAGACTTACCGCGGACGATCTTCGACAACCGGTACATTACCGGTATATCAGTACCTAAGCAGATAAACCTGCCGACTTGACAGCACCTCTTGCTGGTCGAGTCGCTTCCTGAACAGTCTCTTCGACAACACTCCCACTCGACTCGATAGCTCTTGATTCTTTGATACCGAGCTTGCTCCGAAGTGTGCAGAATTGCGTTGCTGGAATCGGCTTTGTCATGATGTCAGCCAGCATGTCTTCTGTCGGGCAGTACTACAATGCAACTTGACCATCTTCGACTTTCTCACGAAAAAAGTGGTAGCGGATGTCGATGTGCTTGGTCCGCTTGTGGAATCGGGGTTCTTGGCCAATGCAATCGCGCCTTGATTGTCTTCATACACTGTTACAGCATCATTGCCCGTAACTTCACCGAGCTCACTCATGAACGCCTTGAGCCACACTGCTTCTTGGGTCGCTTCTGACAAAGCCATGTACTCAGCTTCAGCTGACGAGAGGGCTACAGTGCGTTGCTTCTTGCTGCGCCAGCTGATGCAGCCATTGTTGAGCATGAACACATACATACCCGCTGGTACTTCGCCGAGACTCGATGTCGCCTGCCTAGTCAGCGTCTGAATAGCCGACGAGATCACCATCACTGGATCCAGCGAAACGAATTCCGTGTGTCGGTGTAGCTTGCAGATACCGCAATACACGCTTGAGTGCTTGCCAGTATGTCGGACAGAGATCGGCGGCGAGCTGACTTAGTGCACCTACAGCTGCAGCAAGGTCTGGACGTGTGCCGACCATCAGGTATATCAACGCGCCAACTGCACTGCGGTATGGTACGCCCTTCATGGTTTCATCATGGTTGCAGGCGCCTTCA